CACACCTTCAAAGTCACTAGATCATAAGGGTCACATCACTAGGACAGCCATTTGCATAGGATCTCACCTTGAAACTCAGTTCATACTGCTCGCCACCCCAAATATCCAAGCCATCGTCATAACCACCAAGTTCCCAGAACCATTTTGTCGAAATGGCAAAATAACCACCAGCCATCACAGGACTCGGAAATGGTTTCGTCGGATTCTCACGATCTTTCTTGGTCAACGGTAATCGCTTGTAGTTGAATGCCCAATCAAACGAACCTATAAAAACGTGATAAGAATGTACAACGTCAACAGAATTCCCAGAAGTGGTAGCACATATTACACTCCATATCCAGGAAATGGAGAAGGCGTGGCTTCCTAATCTGTTCGAACGTGGCGGCGGCTCACTTCTAGCGAAACGTTGCCGTTCATGGACAACCGTGATCATGTCTCTGACTAGCACAAGGCAGAATGACATGCACGTCACGAAGAACGCTCCTACGCCATGTTTGCGTGAATGACGCAGTAACCCCTCCCACCTCCTGGACATGGAGTGTAAGTGGTGCAAATGGAATGAGCGCTTGGAAAGCGAGAATCGAGGCGAGGCTGTTTCAAATGACACATACCAACAACCACCGTGCCACTCACCCCCAGAGTGGACTAATCATGAGATGAATGAGTGACACATTAACAAACGGAAGTAGCTATAAGAGGCTCACCTCGTGCTCCTTCATCTTGAGGGCGAATTTCATAGGTGTCACAATCGATCACATCGACAAAAGGACATACGACCGTTCTGAATACAAATTATACAAATCTACTGAGTCATAGGCAAAAGACTTGACTAGACTACGGACCCAAACCCGCACCCCACGCTTCTCGGAGGAGTGCGCTATCAGTTACGCCATCACGACTGCTCTTCCCCTCTGAGCTCGGAGGCTTTTGGGCTTCGCAGTCACACGTTCAGTGTGATGATCGTGTCCCATCTGGGGTCAGACCTTAACCCATAACCCAGATTCTGGTGATACGTTTTAGAGCGCGAACTGCGACGTTAACACATTCCGGACCGCGTGACACACAATGCATTTTCCTCTCAGCATCGTTTACCTATGGTCTATTTGGCATCTTGTTCATGCTCCAAAACTATCAGAACAGTTTTTTAGACGCAGAGTACAGAAACAAGAATAAATGTGGAAAGTGGAAGAAACAGATGAAATTACTGGTTATCGATTTGAAAAGTAACGAAATGATGCTGAGATCCTCGCACAACGGCGGTCCGGAATGTAATAAACAGCAATTATTATAAAGAACAAAAAAAACAGCTATACAAATAATGCAGGTGTGGTAAACGAAAACGAGGGGTACCAACTATGTAAAGCTGGGAGAGAAATAACATCTCATACCTTACACAGACCCATGATACCCTTCTCTGTCCCCCTTCCCCCACCTCCCCCCCAAACCTTAGAAGGCATTTGCTCGCTGCTGGTTCACCAGCGAGTAGTTTTCAGCAAAAAGGGTCGAATTTTGAAGAATCCCCTTTTTCCACTGTGATGATGCAGACTGTTTCAAACACCTTGATATTATAGAAAAACAGAATAGAACTAAAGAGGACTACAGCAACAGCTAAGAACAACAAACCTGTAGTCCTCAACAATAGGATCGATCAGTGGAGGTAACCAGTTGTAATTTGCTTCCGAGTGAGAGTCCAGAAAAACAAGAATGTCACCTGTCGCTTTTTCTGCACCCAGTTGACGCGCACGAATAAGGCCTTCTCGTTTTCTGAAAATCAGCGCTGAATATATTGACGCTTTCACCCACGTTTCATCACGAAGCATCATAAAAAGCGCTTTCGCAGCGCTATCAAGGAAAAAGCAATGTATTATGCATCGCTGGAAATTCTAACATGGCCAACAACCATTTCTCGAATTGCAGGCGAGCTATATCTCATTAGAATTGTTATGTTATAATGGGAACACTGGCTGATCAATTTATACCCCCGTGGTTTCCATTCACGCAATCGTTGACGCGTGTACAAAATTCTTTTTTGAGGAGAGCTCAACAAAAAAAGTTATACTGTAGCAGGAAAGAATCATTTGTAACACTTCTGCTCGAGAAAAGTATGACACTCAATCACGATAAGAGGGAGAACAGAAATCATATATAAGTATCTTATTATTAGATTATATATATATATATATATATATATATATATATATATATATATATATATATATATATATATATATATATATATATATATATATATATATATATATATATATATATATATATATATATCATAGACCAAATTAAGAAATGTATCAATTGAAGATTAAGATATGTGGGAGCAGCTGCGAGGGCTATCAACGGAGGCTTGTTCTTCAATTCCGTCCATATATTACTTTTATCCAAAGAAGGAGCATGGAGATGGGAAGGGCGTGTCTGGGTACTCCATTAGACCATGATGCAAGATGCGTGGTCGTGGGATGCTTTCATTCAAAATAACTGCTGCCCTGTCATGTGCTAAAGGAAGACATGACGAAGTGTGCTTCATGACACAAATGTTCACGAGAAGCGCAGGGCCAACGCAATATGTGGGGAGGAGCATGCAGCCACGCCCATGCTTCAACCCCAAGGATACGGACGGAAAGTCAAACTCGGTGAAACCATGTGTCCTTTTATCCAAAGGATAGATCTGATAAGAGCGTTTTGGCAGCAAGGTGATGGTCCATAAAAAACAAACAGTATGGAATATGACATATCCAAAAATTTATAAGAAACGGACAAGGGAAGTTTGGAAAAAAGGAAGTGCACCATGTGGAATGAAAGACCCTAACAGCAGTTCCAGTTAAGCTTAAGAGAAGAGTGTCATAATGAGATAGGAATTAATTTGAATTGATTTTGATTTTATTTTGGGTGCTTCCGGATTGATACCGGCAAAAAGTGGCATTCTGAGAAGTCAAACGTACCAATACATTTATAGAACCTCAGTATAGCAACCATATACGAGCCGAAGTGACCCACTTACAGAGTTTACAGGTTTACTTGAATGTAAGGATGCCAGTGAAAGTGCAAACTTGCGTTCCCCTTCCCCCCCCCGCTACAGGCCGACAAGTCAGCTGAACGACGCCCTATTTTGTGATGCACACTGAAAAAGAAGAAAAGAACGGATGAAGTAAGAGAGCACGTGTGCGACCACACCAAACAAATGAGACTTATCTATGGGACTTTACAGTAGTATTAATAAATAGGTAACCGAGGCCACGAGCCCAGAGCATCCAATAAATCGCCAAAATTTGTGAGGTTTTTGCGCATAAGGTCTCGCAAGGCCACGCACGTACTTCGCGACGGAGAAAGTAAAGGAGAGGGAAAGATAAGCAACGACTTCTCAGAAGAATTTACTCAAAAATATTGGAATCGGTCCGATGATGGCAAGTAGGAGAATGGTAAAATCGCGGACTCGGGAGGTTTCGAAAATGCGCGCCTAAAGAAGCTGGGTACCAGTCGACCTGGTCGCAGAAATTGGGAGAAAATTGAGAGAGAAGGAGAATCGGTAGCTTAGCATTAAATTGGAGAAGCTCACTTTGTCCGCAGTACTTTGACAATATGGTCAATCTTCTCATGCTTCAAAAAATCTTCCAAAGGCTTCTTCAGAAACGGCTTCTCGCTGAAATCGTCCACCAGTATAATTTCCTTTAACAGTTCTTTCGGCGACCTGTTCATGATTGAGTAGACAGAACGCAAGAGGGTCGAATTGTGCTGGAAAGGACGGAACCCTTGCTTTGATGGACTACTGAGCACATCACGAAGCTTACCTCTTCATGCATGGGAAAGATCACAGAAACCATGGGAAGCTTTGAGTGATACTCCATTCGTTTGCACTGCGGATGGCGGATGTCTTTCATAGATCGATTCAATGAAATCAAATCCGAGACATAGGCATTGTAACCATTCGCTTTATACAAAGCCACCTGGAAGATACATCCGAGAATCTGATAAAATCGTCGAAAACTTCATAAATCTTACAGCTTCCCGTTCGACATTTTCGTCCTGCGGAAGCGTGACTGGCTTTCCCTGCTCACCTGGCCCAACACGAGCTTGGTCAGCGGCGTATTCTTCAAGATTTTCCCAGTTCTGAAAGCACAACATTGCCAAACGCCTGATGCGTGGTCTATACAAAAGGGAAGCACATTACGATGCGATCATACTTTGCGTTAGCGTTACAGCAGCGTTCTGAGCGTACGCCAGTGAACAGCAGCATTTGAGCGGCTAGGAAAGTATGGACATCCATCTAGCGTTTCGAGCGTCCACCAGCGCATTTCTGCGTACAACAGCATTTCGAGCGACTGAGAAACTACAGATATCGATCTAGGCGTACAGCAGCGTATTTCGCAGGCAGTTTTGCTCAAGCTTCAAACTGGATGCCGCGAAAACGCTGCCATACGCAGGCGTACGCTAGATCGATACCTAACCCTTCCTAGCCGCTGCTGTTGGCGTATGCTCGAAACGCTGCCGTATGCTGACTTAAAGTATGAATGCAGCCTGATTCTAGCTCAAATTAAAGGGGGGGGGGCAGTGTAGTAGCAAATGGTGCCGTTTCACCTCCCGCGCGATTATACGCAATGGATGAACCCCGCCCACACCGAACAACCGTCGACTACTCAGAACAGCATGTCGGTACCAGACCTGACCAAGAAGACCAAAACATTGACTTACACATCCGTTATCCGTTGATCCCTCCGCGATTCTTAATGAAAGCACTATGCGTGGCGAATCCCAGAGGGAACGAAAGCTTCACCTATTGTATGGCAAGAGGGAGAGGAGGGTGGTGGGGTAGCTAGGTTTCTTGAATTTAAGTTGAATTATGAAAAGGACTAAAACTTCCACAGAAACTCACCTTCTTCGGCTCGTTTTTATACGTCAAAAATGGATCCACACCATCCGACTGCTTCGGAAACACTCTAACGGGAGGAGCCGGAGCTTCTATTCCTTAATTTAGTACTTTGTGACCTATCAAGGGTCATAAAAACGAAATTATTCGCAAAACTTACTAGCTGCACGACCTATGAAAATGTCCTTCGATTGAGGAGCGGTAGAAGCGAAAAAAGTTCCATAAAGAATATACACAAATCCAGCAAATAAAAGATATTTGAGTACAGTAATATATCGTCGGCTAACATATCGGTTTATGCCCATTTCTGAAAACGAGCAATTCTATGAAAGATAGATACCGATTAAATGACGGTAGAATCGACGTTCACTTCAAGTGCGCGCGAGCAAACGACGTGGACTGAATGATGAAAGCAGCCCAATAAACGAAAGCGTAAATCGTAAGCGAGTTCATAGTTGTTCCACGGTATGCTAAAGGCAGTTTGAAAGCCGCGTGCGCGTACGCAAATGCACCACGTCAACGATACCCAGCGTAATTACAGCCCTGTTCGCTGCGGATGACGGGGCGTGTCAGGCGCCTGACGCGCCCCTTCATCCGCAGCGTCTGTTTCTAACACCTACTGAAGCGAGTAAGCGACAGCAAATGGTGGAAAACGGATGCGAAAGGTGTGGTAGTGTATTGCTGATTTCTCGCTTCCGCAATTGGTGAGAAAGGGGTTTGACTGCAATAATGGTCTTCTTCACTGCGGATGGAGAGACATGTTCCTATATCCACAGCAAAGAAGACCATTTCTTGCAGCGATATGTACACGAGCATCAGCTTCAAATAAATTCGTCTGAATGACGGATATTTGCAGAAAGAGGGCTCTCAATGCAGCTTGGAGGGGCCACGCAGCAATGCGATTAGGTAGCGATGACTCAAACCGTCTGCGCTCTGCCAGGACCAAGAGCTTGGAAAGCGAACGAGACACAGATGAGTCACCGGGTCACACCAAATCAGCGGGTATGGTGACTTAGGAAATTTAAAAATGAGCTCGGTGCCGAAATTGCGGGAGTCCAAACGGCATTAGCCGTCGTTGAGCGTATCATCGAGATAAAAGTCATATGGAGAAAAATTGAGATTCTTGCGAATAAGAACTGTGGAAAAAGTCGCGAACAGTCTAGAACGAATCGCTCGTGAAAACGAGCTTGTTTTCGTTTGTTACATCACCGCCATGCTTTTTTTTCGGCTGACGTGGAAATATACAGTTTTTGCGCTCTCTCAAATTGACTGCCAGCGCCAATTTCCATGGTTTGCAGACAGAAACGAAAGTGGACCTGGGCCTTGTTCGATACTGTTTTGTTCTTGCGGTTCTTGCAAGGGTATTTTCGCGTAAAGTTTCTCAGCCAGTGTTTCGACCGTCCGAAAACATTTAGGTGTTTTGAAACGACGAAAGGGTTGAAACGTTAGCCGAATAGTTTCTATCAAAAAAGGCACAAGAACGAAACGAATTTTCCCAAACGCATCAGCCAGATACGAGCTTTCACTTTCCGCAGAACAGCGCGAAGACG